ATGATGCTCACTGGAAGTGCCGTTGAATCCGCTGGATTTTTTGCGACTGTTGCATGAAATTCCATGATGTTAACTTTCTTCGGAGTAAATAGTTTACACTCGGTTTCCCAAGTGCGGGGAGACCTCTTGTATGTGTTCTGACCACTACCCACTTTTCCCCTTGGAGTAACTGTGCGCATTACGCTAACTTCAGTACCAGCCGGCATTGTGGAATTGCTATATAGGAGTGGAAAGCATATTACAGGTATAGGAAGAAAAAAATGACAAATATTACAAAAATTTTCGGCGTACCAGTTGCACAGAAACACAGGCAGCGACAGACCCCAACCAGAAATAAGTGAGTATATTTGTGAGTTGCTGATTGCCAGATATCGTCTCCTTTATGGCTAAGCCAAGACCCTAAAAAATAATATTTATCGCAGAAAATAATAATTACCGCAGCCACAACCATGTGGAAAAATCTTATGCATACAAAACGAAGCCCTGATCATCTATAGAAGAGGCCGGGAAATTTGCGTCTTCGCGGCCTTGCCTGTGAATGCGCCTTATACCCGTTTGACTAATCAAGAGTTGCTGGAAAACTAGCCATTTCTTGCAATTAAGTCGGGAAACGGAAAACGGAACACGAAATTCCGGCCTTCACCGCCGACTTTTCAGAACGAAGAATCTTGACGAATTTATCACCCATTAATGACCGTGGGTAAGAAAAGCAAATGAAAAATCCCGAACCGACTAAGAACCATAAAATAAAAAATAAAAAATGAATAAAGCACACCAACCTTAACAGAAAGTACTGATAGCGATCCGATCAATGAACACACGCTTATATAGACAATAATATTTGATCTACCATAACGAGGGGCAACGTAGACACAAATGAACAAAGTCACCACTATGACAGCAACAACATATAATATAAATACTGAAAATATAGCTATTTTAAAATTTGTATGAAAGTATTAGAACAATTCCTAATCCGTTAAATAATTGGTAATTACTGGTAAAAGCCGCGGTGCGCGCTTTGAAAGTTGTCACACAAGAATGTCCGCCGTTCGGCTTGGGAGGGGTATTTTGTACATTCGCTACTTCCTTTTGCTAGTTCGTGTTAATGAACAGGTTAGCTTGGTGAGAACTGTAAAATCCCGTAGCTGAGAAATTGGGTAAGTGAGCCAACTTGGCTCAAGGAATTCACAGGTATTTACAAGCAGGATATAGCATCGTGATGTGTGAAATGGCGGTGTCAATACGACCCTCCTCCCCCTGAAAGAGGGTCTCGGTACCACCCCCCACTCCCTTCCCCATCATCTACCTCCCACTTTCCTACATGTTTCTAGCTTTCTACCAGTTTTCTCCGAAATTTTCATGTAGAACTTTGGCGGCGCTACCAAATAGGGGATACGACCCCCCTCCCCAGTGGTCAAGCACGAATCCCCCCTGTCAGCGGCAAGTACGATTCCCCATGTGTATCACACAACGATGCTGTACCTCTGTCCACAAGGTAGACTGAACGATTGTCACTAGGCTTTGGTGCCCTATCGAACTGGTCTGCGAACAAGAACGCTTAGTTGTGGGCAAACGCCCTGACTCCGGGTGGAACTCGAACCCGCAACAAGCCACGGCAACGACCCCTTCCCCTCCCTCACCCTCCACCGATGCAGTAAACATCGCGTACACCGGTGGTGGGAGGTGGTGAGGAAAAGAGGAGGGAACGGACATCCCCCAAATCCCACGACCATTCACTTACTAGAACGGAGTGCTCACAGAAGCCAAATGAGATCCCATACCATTCAAATACGACCCTACTCGTGGGGAACCCACAATACTCCCCGATCGTGAAGAACCAAGAAGAAGAAGAATATTGGTCAAAAAAGCAGCCGCGTGAGGGCTCACCCCGCTCCTGGCACCGCCCGGACTGCCTACGACGAATCAACTATAACATAAAAGTCTTACCTGCATCTTTCATCTTCAATGCAAGATCGGCCATAGATGCTACTTCTTCCTCTTTTGGTGAATGAATTACAATTACAGTTGAACCAAGTAAACACACAGCACAACCGATTTTTCCAAGTAAATTCAACCTCTCTTTTAAGAGATGTGACGATAATACAGCACTGAAACCACACATGATCACGTCTGGAATTTCATCAAAGAAATGGCGCAGCTCGACCTGGAGGGGGCGGGGGCGTTCGCACATTCGCCACTTCCCACTTCCTTGCTTTACAAGAGTGGGCAGGTATTTGTCACAAGACTGACCAGAAGATTATCGCTTCACAAAAATTCAGGGATCTCTGCATGATGTCTCCGCACGGCAATAGAAGTAGCAAAACAGCAGATACCCCCCCCCTCTGCCAAGACGAACTGCGCACAAGAAAGTTCAAAGAGCCTAAAGGCCTTAAAAAACAGAAATTTCACCAAAAACTCACGTGACTATGACTGAGAGTGCACCTAATGGAGTGACCAAGCTGGCTGGTGCAAACGCATATGCCGCGAAATTGCACGCCTCACCAAGACCCACTGAAAACCACTTTATGGTAAAACTATTAATAAACGCTGCAATAATGACAATAATAATGATAATGATAATAATAGCAATAATAATAATACAACACTTTGATGAATTTTTTCACCGGTTTTTGATGGTCTACCCACTAGGAGAATGAGTGAATAGTAAATACTTCTGAATACTCCCACATATCGAAGCAGTAGTATGGAACTTAGACCGAGCT